TCCCAATTCAAGGCCCCCCTCTTCTCCTCCTCTTCCCTACACGACAATGGCTGCTTTGAGTCAATTTCCAACAGGGTTTTCAGATGATACTGCAGGTAAAGACCACAGCTGTGTTTTCCCTTTGGAAACCATGTTTTGGTACAGGATTTACGAAGCTCATTGCCAGATTAGTGTCTGTTCTCTAAATCTATAGATGAGAATTTGGTTTTTCTCTGGGGGGCTGAAAAAATTCCAGGCGAGAACTTGGCAGCCCTCACGGTGAGGGGGCCCACGAGCTGGTTCACCCGATGATTATTTTATACTCAGGTCCCACAGGGAACAGTAGACCTGGAAAGTTCTGCCGTATAGTGTCATCACTGGTAACTGCTAGTTTCGGGCTCCCTGAGACCCTGCCCAACACTTCGAGGTGTTCTTTTACAAAACCACATCAGCTGAGAGAAAAGGAACAGGAAGTCTGATCTGTGCTCATTTTGCTGGGGATTATCAAACATTTGCTGTGCGTGTTACTTCTCTTGTCTGAAGGAAAAGAAACAAGTGCTGAGTAATCTTCCTGGGACTTGGGCCTTATTTTATTCAGTGAGTCGTGCTCATCTGAAGGTTCAGAGCTTAGCAAAACATTGTTAGAAAAATGCTGTGATTAAGATTCATCTAGAGAGGGCTGGTTAAAAAGATATGCCTGAGAAGATGATCGAGTTATGACTCAGCCTAACCATGTAAATCTCGTTTTTAAAAAGTAGCTAATGTTTCATAAGAAGCTCCGTTTAAAAATATCTCTACTGTTCTCCCCAGGAAAGTTATACTATGAATAACAAAATAAAAATCTGACATCTTGGAGACTCAGAAGTTTAGAGATGGGATAATTATTCTATGAGATCACTGAAAATTGTGTAAGCCAATTTGGGGTTGTTCGATGGATATATTTTATATGTGCAAAAATTTGTTTTTGAAAAACAGGGAGTTTTTGTAATTAAATCATTTGCCTTGCCTGCTAATATCTTCTTATTCTTCTCTATAGACCAGTCCTTGTCACATTTGAGCATGCATCAGAACAATGTGTAGGGTTTGTTAAAACCTAAACTGCTCTCAGAGATTTTGACTTGGCAGGTCTGGGATGGGGTTTAAAATCTCACTTTTAACCTGTTCCGTGTGTGATGCTCCTGGTCTGGGACCACACTGGGAGAACCACTGTTCTAGATCATTGTAAACCTGCCCGCACATTAAAATTCCCTGGGGACCTTAAAAAAAAAAAAAAATACCCAGTGCTTGGCTGCACCAGACCAATTAAATCAGAAAATCTCTGAGATCCTGGGTATAGAATATTTCAGGAGCAGCTCGGGTGATTCTGATGTGTAGTCAGGACTGAGAATGTTTGTTCTAGGCAGAAATTATTCAGGGACCATTTCTCAAAGACCACGATGCTAAAGCAGTTAGTAGCCAGCAGCTGGATGCAAGCTGTGAGCTCCTGTGTCCTCTGACTGGCCAACTCCAGGCTGCGTAGTGGCACCCTCCCATGTCATGGAGTATCAATTTCTGGAGCGAGTTTGAAGTTTATGCTATCAGCAAGATTACAAAAGGCTCTCTGGGAGTTTTCTTCTGCCTGATAACTGGGAGGGCAGCCTGAGTCAGAACAGGTTCATGCTGTACTTTGGCATGTGATAGCTAGTCTGGGCGACAGTGAATCATTTTAGATTTTAAAGAGAAAGGCAGGGAAGAAATGATTCTTATTACTTTCTGCAATATTTTCTTATTTAAGCCCCAAACAGCAACCAGATGAAGACGAGTAGAATTAATCTGCATTTTTACAGATGGGTAAACTGAGACCCAAAGGAGCTAAGTGAACTTCCCAAGGTCACAAGACACAGGGGTGGCAGAACTGTGATTTGAACCTGGGCTGTTTGACTCCAAAGGCAAGGGTCCCTGCCACCTTACCATGTTTGCAGAGTGCCTCTGGTGCTCCAGAAACCATAGATTTAGTGCAGAACTTGTGACGTAATTTACGGGCCCCAGTGTGAAATGAAACCATAGAGCCCCTTGTTAAAAAGTTGTTAAGAAAAAAACGGTTGTTAAGAATTCAAGAAAGCAGCTGCAGAGCATTAGGCCAAATGTGGGGTCCTATGCGCCCATGGAGCCAGCCCTGATGTTTAGGTGTTAATCCACACAAACTACATATCAAACATCCTGATCCAATAGGGAAGATGCTCAGAGGCACCCTGGCAGGGAGGTACGGGCTGCAGATCTGGGCGTGGAGATACTGAGTTTTTAATAATAGCTCTGTGAATAATCTCCAGTTATTCCTGTTGACCTTGAGTATGTTGTTTAACCTTTTGGAGGTTCAGGTTAGTCATCTGTGACATTGAGAGAGGGAGCGGTGGGGAAAGGTAGATGATTTCATTGTTTCTCAAACTTTGTTGTTGTTGTTGTTTTGTAATGTTTACTTATTTTTTAGAGAGAGAGAGACAGAGCATGAGCAAGGGAGGGGCAAAGAGACAGGGAGACACAGACTCCGAAGCAGGCTCCAGGCTCCGAGCTGTCAGCACAGAGTCCTAGGTGGGGCTCGAACCCACGAACTGTGAGATCATGACCTGAGCTGAAGTGGGACACTTGACTGACTGAGCCACCCAAGCACCCCTCACACTTTGGTTATTTATATACCACATATTTTGTATCGTGGCCATGGTCATGATCCCTGGACCCATACTACCTGACTTCTAATTTTGGCTCCCCTAAATTCTAGCTCTGTGACCTCGGTCAAGTGCTTCCACTTCCTCATCTGTAAAATGAAGATTGCTGTGAGGAATACATAAGTTAATGTGAGGAAAGTCCTTGAGTAATAGTTGGTATGTGATAAGGGCTACATTAAGTGTTAATTATTACTACGAATCATGGCACCTGTACCAGTAGTAATGCTTTTTCTTTAATTGGACTCACTTGTTAAATTTAAAAATAATCACCAGATTCATGTGAGTAGGTATATTTTTTCTCGTACGTGTGCAAATGTATAATACCTATATAATACTTTTAAAAATTCAAAAAAAGTCCATTCATATGCTCCCTAAAGTCAGCCCAAATATTACTGACAGAATGGTCACCAAAACCATGGGGAACATTGTGCTAGATATTGAAGGTCCCTTCCAGCTTTAATACTCTAGGAATGAATGAACAAATGCACGTGTCTTCGTGTCTATGCCTTCAGTCATTTGACAAATACGTGACTGGAATATTTCTACCCTCCTCAGTCACTTCTACCCACAGTAGAATCTTTCCATTGGTTGGCTACAGGTTTCAGTGGAAAAATGTTTAAATGGAGAAGAGAGATTGTGAATAAATCATGTAAGTAGTTTAAACTTTGAGGGGTTAGTGGGGTTCTCTCAAGAACTCCCCCTAAAGTCTAACCCCTCAAAGTTTAAACTACTTACATGAAAATTGGGACGGGAGGCTTCTAAGAAGACACAGGATGGCCTTGAGAGGTGAGGAATCTACCGGAAGGTCTGGACCCTTTCCTTTGGGTACTGTTTTTGCTCCACTTCCTTCTATGCAGATCATATCTTATAGGCTTACAGTTTCTGTTTGTTTGTTTTTGTTTGTTTGTTTATTTATTTATTTATAATTTGAGAGAGAGAGAGAAAGAGAGAGCACGAGGAGGGGAGAGGGGCAGAGGGAAAAAGAGAGAATTTAAAGCAGGCTCCATGCTCAGTGTAGAGCCCAATGTGGGGCTTGATCCTATGGCCTGGGGATCATGACCTGAGTCGAAATCAAGAGTTGGACTCTTCAACCAACCGAGACACCCAAGCATCCTTAGGCTAACGGTTCAAATTCCACCTCCTCAAGTTCCTTTCCAGCTATTCTTTTTTTCTCATCGGGAGAGTAGTCATAGAGAAGTATTTATTAAGCACATGCTGTGTGCCAGGCACAGAGGACATAGTGCTAAACACCCGTATTCCTATATCAAGGAGTGGATGGGACCTCAGGGCTATCAATTTGTATAGCGAAATAAAGGCAGTGACTAAGGAACTTTAAAATCAGTTTTCACTTAAACATCCCTCTCAAGTTACCATGAGCACTGATCTCCAACCATTTCATGAGCATCAGTACTTGTTGGATATAATAAACGTGTGATGTGAATGTAATATAAATCAATCACAAAGGAAAATGAAAAATCTTGGGACAGGGGCAGGGCTTTATGAAGGCAATAAAAGTGAATTTAGAGAGAGAACCTCTGATTTATGCCCAAAGTTGTGGACAGTTGAAGTCCTGGCAGAACTGTATCAGTTGTCAACAGACAAAGAGAAAATCAGTTAAGATTGACGGCGTGATGTGTGCTTTCCAAGAGAATGACTAGAATATCGAAGGATGATGAAAGAATCTTGAGAGAAAACGAAAATCTCTTGAATATCTTATAAAAGTCAATATGAAGTGAGGGATGGTAAATGGTATAATCTAGTCGGAAAAATTATGCCAAAATCCACACTTAATTCATACTTTGCTCGTTTAAAACATTAGGGCATGATTGGTATTTTACTTTAATTTTGTCAAATATAAGAAAAGTAATTCTTCCGTAACTTTCAGTTTCATAATTTTTAGTTTCTAAAATAGAATTCCAGTCAACCTTTTTCACTCTAACTTTTACTGTGTTATTTATGTCCCTTTATTATGTGGATTCATTTTACTGAATGACTGTTTATATTTCTATAAAATTTATTTATATTTTTAATTGATGACTTTTTATGGAATTAATTGTCCATAAAAAGAATGTCCAGTAATAGTATTCAATGAAGTGATGGATTGATTAGCATCATTCTTCAGAACCAACGGCCAAGACCATAATAGGCAGAAAGGGCACAACTGGCTTTATTGACTCTAATGCAGAGAGCAAGGGTGCATAGAACAAGCCAGACTTCTCTTGCAATGGAGATGCCTAGTCCAGCTAGGAGGTAATTTTGGGATAAGCCTGTTTAAGGCCTTGAGAGGGAATTCTCCAGTTGTCAAGGGAAATTGCTTACCCACAAAGCACCAGACTGCAAACCGGATCCATGTGATGGTGGAGAGCTTTAGCATGAGATAAATGTTCACCAGCATGGCAAAGGCAGGCACGAAGGGGAGGCAGGGAGCCATGTAGGGTAGCTTTTTGGGGTTCTCTGGTTGCTGCAGGATCACGAACACCAGGGCGCCGATCAGCAGCACCATCAGAACGACCAACAGGATGGCCCACCAGCTCCGCTCTGAGATGTGGTCGGAACCAAAGATGAGGAAGGAGCAGAAGATGAACATGAGGATGAAGAGCAGGAGCACGCAGATGGTCACCGTGTGCCCTGTAGCTGCTGTGGGCCGGTCCATTTTGCCTGGAAGGCCCAGCCGGATCCTCATGGTGTAGTAGCGGGGCCCGATCAGCTTCTTTAACTTGATGAGATAAATGTTTTCAGATTCGTCGGCTTCGATGCCTGTGGTCATATCCACAGTGCCGTAGTTGGGGTGGTTCACATTGTAGGTTGACTTGTCCGACTTGCCTATGAGCATCTCGTTGTCTCCCAGGGATGGTAGGTTCTTGGCCCCGCATGTGTTGGTGGCTGGGCCGGAAAACTCTTCCCCTTCACTCACAGGAGAACAAACTTCCTTCTCACAGTCCGCCAGGATGCCCTCCTTCTTCTTTGTGTGCTCCTGGGACAAGAACTTGACAAAACCATCAATGTCACTCTCTGGTTGGTATCGAAGGAGCAAGACGCAGACAGAGACCAAGGTGTAGGCAAGGAGTGTGCCGATGGACATCATCTCTATTAGGTCTTTCAGGCTGACTAATAACGAGAGGAGAGCTGCTAGGAACCCCGATACAATGCAGGCCACCACTGGTGTCTCTGTGTAGGTGCTCACATGAGCCAGGAACCTGGAGGGACGGGCAAGCAGAGGGTTAACAGTGAGCTACAGATGGTGACTGACTCTAACACGGCTTACGTCCACCTGGTCCTGCTCCTCCAATGTACTTCTGGAGTCACTGCTTTGAATACAGTTATTCCTACTGCAGGATTTGGTTTCTGGAATACAATTTAAAAATAATTTACTTTCATGCCTTGGTTTTGAGGCAAACTTCTTTATTAAAGTTCCTACTTCATTATGCGATGTGAAGGGATGACTGAATTTAGGAAGCATGTTAGAAATCTGAATCGAAGTGCAAGCTTTGCTGGGAAGGAGTGATATGTGGAACATTCATACACCTCCTTGGGGTCCCCTAAACCTGTGTTACCTAAAATATGGTCAGTCCGTGGACCAGCAGCATCAGTATCACCTTGGAGCTTATTGGAAATGCACATATTCAGGTATCACCAGAGACCTCCTACATCAGAACCTCTGGGCATGGGTCCTAGCAAACTTTGCTTTAAAAAACCTCCAGAGGATTCTGATTTATACCAAAGCTTGAGAAGCGTTGCCGTACAACAAAAGTGCAGAAGTTTAGTTGGCAAAATAGCGCAATAACTCAGAACATGTGCTCATAAATGCAGCCCAAATCCAGCCACTTACCAACTGGAGAAGACCAACAAAGGTGAATGAATGACAGGTGCCTCTTTAGCAGTTCCTGTGGGCCTTAAGCAGGTTCCTGCTCTCCTCCTCACTCTCCTCCTAATCTGCCCTCCTCCCACCTCTTCCATTTCTCTTTTATTTTCGTCTTTCACAATATGACTGACTATCAGCTGCCTTTGGAGCTCCAGCATCTTTCCCCTTTGACAGCAGAAAAACCTTTTGGGTGTGTGAAGTTGTAACATCTCCGCCACACTCAGCCTCTTCTTGATCTGTCCAGCTCCCCAAACATGGCAGCTCTGACCTGGTGATGACTTCAGGGGGTATGCAGGGGAAATGGAGCAGAAGATGACAGCTGGCGGCAGAGACGAAGTCCCTGAGCTGGATCCTCCCCCCGTACCCCTGAGCGCTCCTTGACCTCCATGCTTGAAGAATGCCTTCCCTGCAAGCCCCTCATACAGTGGGCACTGGGAACCGAGAGATGGGCCACATTTCCTTGGGGCAGATTGACCACTTCATGGCCAATGTAGGGGGCTGGAAGCCAATATATTGGAGTGCTTGAAAATCCTGTCTTTGGAGTCAGACAGTCATGGATTCAAATCCCGGACTCCCCTCAGCCGCTGGAGGATTGGGGTAAGTGTTTTCGCCTTTCTAAGTATACTCATCTACTATATTTGTCTGCAAAACAGGGTTATTGTGACAACTACATGGGATCTGTATACAAAGCACCCAGGGTACACAAATGTTCAATGAATGGTAGTTATTGTTGCTACTGTTATCAGGTTCTGTTCACATGGTCTTATACTCCCTGTGACGGTAGCTTTTAATGTTTTCACCTTCAGAGGGGCTGTGGAGAGAGGGTCAGTACCTCACCTCAATGTGAGGGCAGGCCTAAGATGTCCCTGGGAGGGGTCCTTCCTTCTGGAAGTCACTCAGTGCAGCAGTTTGACACCCACAATCTTCACAAAGCAACACACAGTGTCAAACAAGAGGGGAGGGGCAGTTAGGGGGAGTATACCAGTTTGTGCTAGATTGGGAGACCCAGAGTCAAACTGAGGGGCTGTTATGGGGCTTACGTTCTTTTCGCTCAAACTCTTTATTAGGATATATGACAAATTCCATCGTCTATGTGACATACACGCACATCAAAATTATAGTCAGGCTGACAGTGGGTGACATTCTCCCTGGACAGGCATGGCAGAGCAGAATTAATTTCATAAAGCATAGTCCTTACCTGAAAAGGAGCCCATCACCAGCCATGGCATAAATGACCCTTGGCATTGGGAAGAGAGAGCCCAGCAAACTGACTGTCAGTCCTGCAACTGACCCAATGGCTACTACGAATTTTGCAGCATAGAACCCATGAGCCACAAACATCTCCATGAGTGGGGATTCCGTGTCGATGGCATAGAATGGCACCATCAGAGTTAAGATTATGCTCACCTGTTGAAACAAGAGAAAACATGGCTGGAGGTGGAGAGGACTGACAGCATGGATGGATGTTCCATAGGAGAGCGAAGAGGCCTGGACTTTGGATTTGTCACTTCTTGGCATGTGCCCTTAATTTAGACTAGTCATTTTTCATCTGGACCTCTTGGTCTCAGTATTTTCTCCTCACATTAGAATTTAGTGGACTTGACAAGATGGTCCTCAATATCTCTCAGGCTTTCATATCTGAGGAATAAGTATGTAGGTATCTAAGCCCCACAACAGCAGAACTACACTGACAGTTCAGTGAAGGGCAGATACCATCACATGGAAGGAACTGGAGCCAAAGGTGCTGGAGCCAGGACCTGGCAGTGGCCGTGAGCACCCTGCCCACATGGGCAGGACTCTCATTTCCTTTATACTTTCAGGATCCTCTATGGTCTTAAATGGATTCTCCCGTTCACTCTGAAAATCAGAGATAAAAACTCCAAAGATAAGTGATCAGAGGTCCATAGCCAGTTAACAGGGGGCACCCATATGAGGACTACATTTCCATTTCCTCTCTGTAGCTCAGCGCCAGGAGCCAGGCAGCCCACAAATGAAGGCATCAGGATGGAACCCGGTCCTACTCTGGGGTTGTAAGACTACTGTGGCTTTGCTTAGCCAGGAATCACTTGGCTCCTAAGACCCATCTTCCTTTATGTCATAAATCGGCCATAACAACCCTCCCTCCATGGCCCCAGGCAATGAAACCACCAGTTATAGGTCCAGGCTCCCCCTGGCCTGCAGGGGCCAATGCTGGCATCAAGAATGTAGGTCAGAGCCTGAACGGGAGAGGGTGGTGCATTTCCAGACCACTTCTTTGCATATTCCTCGGGAGCCAACATCCTCCAGTGAAGCCATGGGCTGCTAGGGAGGACAGCAGGATGGACCACCACAGCCCAGCAATTTGGCTCTTCTCCTGACGGTGGAATGGCAGCCTGCTGACCGGTGCAAGACCAAACAGCCCCTGAGGCCTGGTTAAGGGCCGTGTGTTCTAGAAGATGATGTTTCCCAGCAACTTCACCACTTGCAACACGGGGTGGGCTGGGAGACAGTGGGATTGATTCCTACAGCAGTTTGCGTTGGGTCGGCTGCTCATGTTAGATCCGGATGGGCAAAAAGTGGGCAGATGCATAGAAGTAGTCTGTAGTCTATAAGGCGCTATTCTAAGAAAGGAATTGTGATGACCAACTTTATTATGTGTGCAGCAGGGGTTGACCCCTGGAGGAGGGGGGTGGGTATATGAGGGAGGAATAAGAGGGGAAATGCAAAGCAGAGCATCTCTGCCCTGAGATACTCTGCCCCACACCACCCTCATGGCCTGAACACTGTCTGCAGGGATCATCAGAGAATGGTTAAGATGAAGCCACTTGCCTGTGTGTGCTCAAGGGGAGGTGATAATTGACCCATAAAACAATTGCCAGGGACAAGTGAATTCCTATAAACCACATCCATGGCTGCTCTTGTGTTTTCCTTTGGTGCCCAGGACAATCTTATTTTGCAGCTTGCCCTAATGATCGAGCCAGCCGCTGGTCTGGCTTCCTTCAGTAGTTGCTAAAGCTGTTTCTGTTTTGTTTGTTTTTTGGGGAGGAGGTGCTTTTCCTATGTTTTGCAGCAGGGGTGCACGTAACAGCCGTGGATCTTTCCTATTGGTGGTAAGTGAAGTGAGTGGGACCCCCAGGGCCTGGGGCATTTTTGTGACCACACACCTATTGACTTGTTGGCTGGTTCTCTCCATTGCCAGGGGCCGAGGAGGACGTTGGCTGCGAGTGAGCTATTTCTGTGATAGAAATTCTGGGATGGGAACTGGGAAATGACACATCACAAGTTTGAGGAGCGTCTGATCCTGAGATGACAAGAAGCTGCAGGCTTCCTTCTAAGGATTCCCCTTGGCAGGAAAACTTGAAAAATGAGCTTGGGCCGGTATAAAAAGAGGGAGCAACAGCAGAAAGAAATGGCATTTCCCCTGAGATTTAAGGGGAAGAGTGTCTCTGGGAGGGTGGTGTCCTCTCTCCCCACTCTGGAGGAGCCTCGCCTCCCGCTGCCGGGAAGATCCCAGAAGACAGAAGAGCATTGAGGAGGGTGCACAGAGGTCCACAATGCCTCTGCTTGCACACCCACCCGTTACTGCCAGCCTATGATCTGAGCTCCTTGGACAGCAGCCCACTCCCTGTACACCGTCCCCTGGGCAGTAGTGGACACCCAGAGCCTGTGTGTGCGGAGGAGCAGGGATGGGAACTCAGAGGTCAAGACTGCCCCCGTCTCCAGTTCGGAGTGCTGATTTTCTCCTTGTCATTGGTGGGTGGGGATATAGGGTGCATGGACGCATGCATACAAACGCCGAGACGACACAAGGAAGGGATCATTTCCTGACAGAGGGTGACCCAGTCCCAGAGCTACTTTTTAAGGTCAAATATGAAAAGGCCATCAAGATGGTCCCAAAGGATGTAGTACTTACAGATACGTATGCTGTCAGGCAGATGACCAAAGAGGCGGTGATGGCATAAGGGATGGACGTGTTGGGATTCTTGGCTTCCTCTCCAGTGGTGGCAATGATGTCAAAGCCGATGAAAGCGTAGAAACACGTGGCTGCTCCTTGCAGCACCTGGTGGGACAATAGCATTTTTCAGACTCAGAGTGTCAGGGCAGCACCAGGGCCCAACATGTGGTACCAACAACTGCCCAGTGCTCGGCCGCGTCACTGAGCAGCAGAGGAATAACATGGTGGATCTCGTGCTCAGCACTTGAGTTCTGATCTCCTGTGCTTTCTAGCTGTGTGACCCTGGGCAATTCCCTCATGGGTAAAATGGAGATAAGAAGACTTATGGCCACATAAACACTGGGTTGTTCGACATATTCAAATCATTTCGGGAAATAAGTGGGGTTATAAGTAAATCAATAAACCGGCTATCCCTATGTCTTGCGGAACTCATTAACTAACCTCTCCGTGCCTTATTTTCTTCCAATGGTTCTCAACCACAACCAGGGGTCCTATGACTTCCCTTAGGGGATGTTTGGAAATGTGAGGAGCTACTTGTGACTTTCACAGAGACGTGAGGTGTGCTTTCAGCATTTAGGGTACGGGACTCAAACGCTTCTGCACCAAGAATTGTCCTACTGACATTACCATTGGTGCCCTTCATAGATCATCTCTGTGGTACCCTCTAGATCTGAAATGATAGAAAAGATTTTCAGATCTTCAGATATCCTACTGTCTTCCGTGGGGAGACAGGTAGAGACAGTCTGATTTTTCTGTCCCTCTGGGGCTCGAGTGTCCTAGCTGGGTTATAGGGCTGGAGAAGATGTACTGTGAGAGGCAGTGTCGGGCTGGGGAGGTGGTAACCAGTGACATCTGCTGGATGTCTGTTGGACTGAGCCTGCACGGCTGCAAGGGTGGGTGGGACTATAAGTCAAGATGTCAGTGCGAATCTTCTCTTAAGGAGTGGGTTACTTTCTTCCAAAGAATTGACTGAACTTTAGATGAAGTCTCCCCACCTTGGCATTCTCATTATCGGCTGAAAGTAAAAAGTGTGCCTCTGAATGCTTGGGGACTGTCCTTTCAGGGGAGGGTGAGAGAGCTTTTTCTAGACTCGTGTGTATGGGCCAGGGGCCTTGGCAACATGCAAGCTCTAGCCAGGGGCCCAGGGGTGAGCTTCATTGTGAAGGATCATTTCTCCCCCTCTGATCCACATATAGCTTACAAATGATGAAATTCAAAACATGTGCCAAGCAGATACCTGTGCCCAAAGTTTCACTCTTACCTCTCCCACTGGCTTCTCAGTAAGTAAACGATAAAATACTTAAGTACTGGAATCGACCAGGTACATGACAAACTGAATATCTTCTCAAACCTCAGAAGCAAGTTTGCTCACCTGTGAAATGACTTGGCCCTTTCTGTGCTCTTTCCCACCAGGATTCCAAAGTTCCAAGTCCCTAAGTGGGCATTCTTATCCTGGGGTCCGTTCAACTCAGGGTGGGAGTCTATGAACTTTGCTAAGAAAAGATTACCTCTTTACTGTTAGTAACCTCTGACTAAACATAAGCATTTCTTTTAATTATGAATGTAAGTGACAAGCTAATAGTACCTGTGATTTTGTCACCAAAGCAATCAGGTGTTTTTTCTATACTAGTAGATAGTTGCAGAGATCTTGAAATGTTTCTTGTGCTTATTGCTACTTCCAAATTATGATAGTTATTAGACACAGATATTAATATTTAAAACACTAATATAGAAGCACATTGTTATTATATCACAATTAAAAATGTTTTTATAACTATGTTTTAATATATTTGCTTTCTTTTGAATTCCTATGTAATTAGGTTATTCATTTATAAACACAATTCTCAGAAGGGGTCCATAGGCTTCATCAAACTGCCAAAGAGTCCATGGCACAAAATAACCTAAGAGCTGCTGGTCTATTCCAAATTCCTTTTTTTTTTTTTTTTTTTTTTAATATTTATTTCTTTTTGAGAGAGAGAGAAAGAGAGACAGCATGAGCAGAGGAGGGGCAGAGAGAGGGAGACACAGAATCCAAAGCAGGCTTCAGCCTCTGAGGCGTCAGCACAGAGCCCGATGCGGGGCTCGAACCCACAAACCATGAGATCGTGACCTGAGCCGAAGTCGGATGCTTAACTGACTGAGCCACCCAAGCACCCCATAAGAGCTGCTGGTCTATCCTAATAACTCAGGTAGAAAGAACTTCTCAAGGAATTGTCATCAGATGACTGCTTTCTGGGAGAGGCGATATCTCAAAATTTACTCCAGTAAACTCCTTCATTTCAGGGAATGGAAAGTGTTTTGGCCTCCAGGCAAGGAGAGAAAACAGATCTCACTTCACTGTACCTGGAGGTTTACCGGTCTGGAAATGTGCTTGTTTTCGCTTATCTAGCAAGTGTTTTTGGTCTTTAAGGATGAACAGAGACTGCGATTGCAGGCTCCCTAAACCTCCCCAATCAAGGAAAGCCTTGCTTTAAGATAGCTTCCAGAAAACAGGTTCTGCTTTCTCTTCCTTTAACATTTTTCTTCCTTTACACGTACATACATATGTACGTGTGCGTGCGCACACACACACACAGCTCCTGCAAATCATACAGACCTGTCAGGACAGTCAGTTGATGATGTATCCCTCCCAGTTAGGATGTGCCATGCATAGTCCCTATGCCTATTTGCTGTGGTCAGTTCTGGATGGAAAGTTCACAGATATTGCAAGAGCTCACTGTTGAGGAAAGGGGGTTGGAAGGATCTTAAAATAAGAACTTGGGGGCCAATCTACCCTAGAAAAAGATGAGAGGTCTGTAAGCCACGCCTTGTGAGGAATCACTGGGGACCCAGGGATGTCAAATGTGAAGAAAAGAAGACTCAGTGGAAGACTTGGAGGACACCTTCCAATTTTGAAGTGCTGATCATGAAGCAGTTGGAGGAGAAATATACTGTAGGCTCCAGAGGGAATCCCAATGCCATGCACAGCCATCCACAGGTTGGGGGTGGGGGGGGGGATTGGATTTAGTTAGGAGAACAGATTTTACAGATTGTCAGACTTAGCGTGGTTCTGTCACATACCGGCTTGGTGACCTAGAATAAGTTCCTAACCTCTTGGAACCTCATTTTCTTTTCTTTTTTTTTTTTTTTTTTAATTTTTTTTTTCAACGTTTATTTATTTTTGGGACAGAGAGAGACAGAGCATGAACGGGCGAGGGGCAGAGAGAGAGGGAGACACAGAATCGGAAACAGGCTCCAGGCTCTGAGCCATCAGCCCAGAGCCCGACGCGGGGCTCGAACTCACGGACCGCGAGATCGTGACCTGGCTGAAGTCGGACGCTTAACCGACTGCGCCACCCAGGCGCCCCGAACCTCATTTTCTTAAATGGAGATGAAAGTGGTATTTAGTTCATAGGGTTGTTGCAAGGATTAAATGAGATAATACAGTGAACTGCAGTCATAGACTACAGCAGGTACTTAGTAAATATTAGCTCTTACCAGCAGTATTTTTTAATTACAATTATAAAATTTCTAGAACAGATGAAACTCAAAGGCATAAACAAATTCTTCCTCCTCCTTTTTTGTTTTTTAAAAGGCATATATTTTATTAACTGCTCCCTTGTGCCAGGCACTGTGCTTGGGGATGTGGATATAGTCATGAACAAAAATACTGTGAGCTTAACCCCCTGGGGCTTGGAGTCTAGAGGATGCTGCAAGACCTAAAATACAATATTGACTGTGGTAATAAACTGAATGAGATTGATAAGTGTCTATATTATTTATGAAACACAAATTCTGCTGCTCTCCAAATAATCGAAAAAATAGATGGCAACTGCTGAAAATGATGAGATACCAGAATATTGACTATGGTCAAGTTGGGAATGGAGAGGATTAGTTTGCAAAGAGAATGTCTGTTAGCCTGAATTTGCTATGTAAAACTAGAAAGCCATTATAGTTGAAGGAAGACTGGATAGATCAAAGGTAGGACATTTGGAGGTTCTACTGCATTAGGCAGGAAACAGAATTTAACTCAGATGGTTTAAATGAAATGATTCCAGTGAAGGCCCATTGGCTAAGTCCATCAGGGAGCAACCAGCAAGGGGCCTTCTGGAGCACAGAACAGAGTATGAAAGATGGATAATGGATCTGGGGAGGGAGGAGAAATAGAAAAAACCCAGCATACCTGTCAAGATCAAACAGATCCTGGCCTAACGAGCTATAGATTAAATAAACACATTATCAAGGAGAAGGTAATAAAATTAGCAAATAAGATCACCTTTTTGCCTAAGTTAGTTTTACTTAAGTTAGCTTGAATGAATTTTTCTTCCTTGCAAGCAAATGATTCCCGACTGATGAATGCAAAAGAGCCAGGAAATGAAACTGGGTATGGGTCTGTCTCTACCCAAATAACCACTAAAATTATTCGCTCTCTCCAGCCCTCAGATCTGGCCATTGGTATTTGTGATTAGGATTCCCTTCCAAGCCTGAAAGAATGCGTATGTTCTTAGGAGTGAACATTTATGAATGAAATTGGTGGGTGAAGTGTGCGTATGTGCATGTTTCTGGGTTCGTCGGTGCTTTCACCTAGCTTTAAAAAAGTATTTCGCATGAATAAAAAATAGCATTGACTTTTTAATTTGACGACGTAAGTGGAAAGTTTTCCGTGGTAAAGCTGGTGTAGCTGCTCAGCCAGGCGATCCAGATCAGCTCATCCCTCGACAGAGCCTTCGTGGGGAAGCAGCACGTGCCTCAGTTGCTGGAAGGCTGCTGCTTACTTGGTTGTCGAAAGCAATGCCGTTAGCGGCATGCTGTTCAGTGTGTGGGGTCCCTAAAAGCTGGCCCTCTGTGTCTTGCTGATATTCAAGAGGCATAGGAATGAGGCAGCTCTCCATATTCTGCCTTGGCCAGTCTGCCAGATGTCTAGGAGATAATTGGGCACCTTTATATAATTCACTCCCACGGTAACGAGACAAAACTCCAACTTTAATAGCATTTTCTACCACCCTCAAGCTCCGGATATCTATTAGCAGCCTGTCCACGGTGACAGTGGAATGCATTAATAGGTTCCAACAAATGAATTAAACTGTGGAGAACACGAAAACCAACGTTTCCTTTGTTTGGAGGCGTTCAGCATTCCCCACACATACTTGCTAAGGACCATTTTCCTTGGAGCTGTTTGTGCGGTGGAGTGTCTCATTTGGTTCAAGAGAAACCATAAGATAACATCAAGAACAAATAACATACAGGCAATACACATCCAACAGGCTAAAGAACTGCAGATGGAAGCAGGGGTTCAGCTGAGGGCCAGCAGTTACTTGATCTAGAGAAAAATGTTTGTTGTTCTTCGGCTCTTCAAGACCAAAGCAGCAGCTGACCCAGAACCTGTAAGTGAGTAAACCATTCCTTAAACTATTTTCTTTGGAAGGATGTGGTTGGGGCAGGGAAAGAGTAGGCTTGTGAAGGGTCTACGGCCAGAGGACAGATTGTTTATTATTAACCCTTTCAACGTACTCGAGAATTGTGTGTCAAGTCAGGTACCGGTATCCTTATAAACCATCTCCTACATAACACAATGATCTCCCCCAGCCCATCCTACCAGAAGTGATTGAAGAGTAAAGTGGATTGGAGCTCTGTACTAGGCCCTTTGTCAGGGATAAGGGTTGGGTTTTCCCTAAGGAGAAGTCTGCAACTGTCGAGTAGTCAACTCACTTTTGTTGACAATTGTCAAGTAATGGAGTAGGGAGTGTGTTTATTCACTTGGTGGATGTCATGTTCATGAGAGGGTTTCAGACCTTAAAAATTAGGATCCATATTCAAAGTGGCTTTGCTAGGGGCCATCTGGCTGGCTCAGTCAGTAGAGCACAAAACTCTTGATATTGAGGTCATGAGTTCAAGCCCCACGTTGGGTGAAGAGTTTACATTAAAAAAAAAAAAAAGAAAGAAAAAGAAAAAAAAAAGAAAGAAGGAAAAAGAAAAAGAAAAAAACAAAACAAAACAAAAAAAAACCCCAAAGTGGCCTTCATGGACTAGAAAAGTGACCAGAAAACAAAGTTGAGAAAGAACAGGTCCAGGCCAGTTTGCTAGGGAGGAAATGTACTATGCAGAAATCCAAGGCCGGGCAGATAGAAAAGAGGATGAGTCAGCAACATCCTCAAACTGGGCTGTCCTTTGTGCTCAGCTGATGCTTTTAGTCACAGCCACTAGAGCACATATTTGAATTCCCTGCAGGGATAATGGATTTGCAGCGAAAAATACAAAATTCCAGCTAGACCTTTTTGGTGGCCAGTGACAAGCCTACTCAAGATCGTAAGGTTGGGTTGCAGCGAGATTGCGAGGCCAAAGGTGCAAAGAGAGGCAATCAGTCCCGTGTGACCAAACCAGGTTGGGGGATAGTGGAGTAAATAGGGCTTTGACTGAAGCAGAACTGGGATTGAATTTCAGATCCATTGCCATCTAGATCTGTAGCCTTAACTTTTCTCAATTTAAGGTATTTTGATGTACGAGTAGAGACCATTGTCCTTATTTTGTAAGGCTGCTGTGAAGATGAAATGAAAAGTGTACATGAAAGAGTGCATCACAAAGAAAATGGTTCGTGTTAGGAACAGAATCCTTCCTTTCCTTTTTTTATGCCTGACTTCAGATCTTCTTTTCTGGCCACAAAAGCTAGTGAGAACATGGGATATGTATAAATGGGGACCCCCTAAGGCTGGTTTGACTTAGTTTCTTCCTTGATGAGGTAGACTCCTGACTATCCTGAGGAGGGATATGGAGCCCTTGAGTGGGAAGAGGAGACCCCCGAAGAGAATAAATACCCCAGCACAAAGCACAGGGGGAAGGGTAAAAGATTCATTCATCTTTTTTGGCACGGGCACAGAAGAGATTGTTTCTAGTCTTTACGTGGGGCCGAGACTACAATGTATGCCATTTCGGTGAACTCTTAGGAGGATTTTGGAAAGTAGACATGAACTGAGTAATTAAGAAAGGTTTTCAAATTGTTTTGCTGTGTCGTCTTGGTAAACAATGCACTTTGGCCTAGGTTGGTTTACACGCCCAACTGTAGGTAAGAAGAGTAGCTAGACCACGTCTTAATGCTCCTCCTAGCTCGAAGACTTTATGACTTTGTAAAAGCTTAAAGGAAATGAAAATGTAACATGTTGGATGAATTACCTTATTGCATTTTTTTAAAGAAGGCTCAGATGGAAGGGGGTGATCATGCACAAGGTAGTCCATGAAGTAGAAAGCATGTCGTAGTCACATAGACCCAAGTAGGAATTTCAGTCCTGGCACTGACTAGCTAAGTGACCTCAGGTAAGCTCCCCAGCCTCTTTGAGCCTTGGATTCTCCACCTGTTAAGTTGGGGACAACAGCACCTTCTGTAAAGTTTTGTTATAAGAGTGAAATAATATCCATAGAACACAATGCTGGGTACCTAACTGGTAGTCAATAAATTCTAGCTTCTTCCTCCTGTAATTATCACTATTGCTATCCACACAATGTGTACTAAAAAAAACTATCCAAGATGTTCTTCTTTTTGGCAAACATTTGATACAATTAGTTTTCCCATTTGGTGGATGAGAAAACCTGAGAGCACAGAAGTTAGCTGTTGGTCAAAGTCCTAACAGTAAGTCCATGACCCCCAAATGTCTTAGACTGTGAAAAAAAATGGTGGGAATTTGTGCGCTACAGTGGAAATGCAGTTGTGTTCTGGAAAAACACTTTTTTTCTTTGCCACTCTTGTAATATATTGTTTCTCTTATTTGATAGGAAAGGAACGATTTGTATCGCAAGAGAATATAGACTCAGGGATCCAGAATAAGGTCAACAGTGTTTCTTTGTCTTTTCTGGTTTTAACCAGTTTCGGGATTTATTCACTTCAAGGAGGAGAGATGAACTTTGCGGTACTGTTGAATTCTTACAGATAAGCAGAAGACTAGAAATCTTGGCTCAGATTCCTCCTTTGTTTATTTCTTGGCATTGAACAGTGTGGCACGGTTCAGAATAAACAGGAGTTATTTTGAGTATTCTCCAAGAGAGATTTCTGGTCCCTGGACATCTTGGAGGAAAACCAGTCTAAGCAAAAGCTACACAAGCAAATCTGGGAGAGTCCTGGACATGCGTCTGCCAGTCGCATGGCGGTCTGCTAGGCGGGCATGCCTTTCTCGGCCTCCATTTCTTCACCTGCTAGGTGAGGGGATAAGACCGGGTGATTTCTAAGACCTCTCCCAGCTCAAAATTCTCTGATTTATGTTCTATTATTAAAAAAAAGAAAAAGGGATAGGTGGGTGAATTTTAACAATGAATTCATAAAGTAGGCATTTTTAGTCATACTAGAAAGAGGATCCAGACACAATTTAGAGTTATTTATCAGCCAAGTAGTTGGCTTGCCACTCTGACCTTCCCATTTTTCTTTAGCATAAACCTCACCACCCAGATCATGGGGATGAGATCGGAAAATGTCCTTTTGGTCCAGCCTGCTCTCTGATCAACTCCCAGACCACTCCAGGTGGACTTTTGTGCTGTGAGCCACACCACTGGAATGGGATTTATGAGCGGCCCTCACTGGGCTGGCCCAGCTGCACTTAGACTTCAGTGGGGCTCTCCATATTGGGCCAAACATTGGGATTAAATTTAAAAACCGTTCTTTCTCTAGTTCTGTACCCGGGCAACACTCATCCCTTACCTACCCACCCACTCTCCCGGCTCCTTTACTGCCTTGTCTGTTTAGGGCTGTCTGTCTCTCGGAAAATACTCTACAGAGATTCTATAGGACCAAGCTGTACAGGCTTTGGAGTCAGACCATCCTGCCTTTGGGTCTTGACTCTGCCAGTTACATTGTATGCTTAATAGTGAGCGCACGCTGACCTCTCCAAGTGCGAGTTTTTCATCTATAAGACCAGAATGTAAATATCTTCCTTGCAAGGTTCTCAGGACACCTAAATATTACATGCAGAGCACTTAGCATAAGATTAGGCATGTTTCACGTGGCCAAAACATAAAATCTTTTCTTGTTGTTTGTATAAAATAGGATCTCAATAAATGTGAAACAAATTAAAAAATTATATAGGAACCACTTTTTCAGAGCATTCCAATTAAATTCAGATAAAAAGTAATGAAACGGATGCCATGAAGATTACAGGACAGAGCAGCATTTTCTTAAAAATATGTCTCAGACTAGCCACAAGATGGAAGGCAGAATGTGCAATAACCATACTAGACTTTAGAAGTGAACTCACCCCTGACCAGCCGTGGGGCAAAAACTGGCCCTCAGCCCAGTATTTCCCATTGATGAAGAAGAGGCCTGCAATCATGATGAATGCCCATACTGCCAGATTCAACACGTTGAGGACGTTGTTGAAGCCCACGGAATTCTTCACCCCCAGCGCAACAATGATGGTGACAATCACAGCAATTACTAGAGCCAGAAGGTCAGGGTATGATTTTTCACCTTTCCCTAGAGGGGAAAGATATGAGTTAATGTTGTTCAGAGGGGAGAAAGGGCCATGCAAACCCCCAGCACCGCTTCAGAGCATTTGCACTCAGCTCTGACAAGGGTAATCAGTTTGTCATGGAGGGAGGAGAGGCTTGCGTGTAAGTGGGTGTATGTATGAATGCATGTACCTACACTGTGGTCCACAAGTGTCTATTTGCAAATGGGAAGATTTTGAAATACAAGTAAGATGACCTGATATCCTGGACCAAAAATTGGGATACATGATATGACAATGACAACACAGCCTAGGGAACCATGGCACAGAACATTTGAAGTCAGAACCGTACTGACATATCGATGGTATAAAACATGGGTTTAACATGTCGTTTGAAAGCTGGTTTATCTTCACAGTTGTTCAGTATAGAGTCCATAATTTTTCCATCCTAGTAATCTTTTCATTTTTAGAAAGTTTTAAAATGTGTATCTTTGAACGCTATTGGAAGAAGAGTATTCTTTGCATTTATGTGTATGTGTTTGCAGAGAAGATAAGCAGTGAACATACCCCCACCTGATTGGCCTTGTCTGTTGGTCAGTGGACTCCTGCTCTCTACAGAATGGAAAAGGCACTGCCTCAGCTGTCAGGGTCCTGAATTTCAGCTGTACTTTTGCCCATGACCGGTTGTGTGGCCTTGGGCAAATGCCTCAGTTCCCTGGATCTCATTTGTGAAGTGAAGAGTTTGGACTACCTGATTTTGGAGGCCCTTTTGAGCTTAAAAATTCCATGAAATCAGTACATTGTGGAGATGTGGTCTTCATACTTTTTATCTTCTTATGGTGTCTGCTTGCTCAGCATTTTTGTCAATTCTTCTGAGATAGGCACACCAAAGTCACATGACTAGCACGCAGCCAAGAATCTATACTTGGAAGTTCTGGGACAAGACCCCCAAGTTTCCCCAACTGTTGTGTGGCTTCCCACGAATATGAGAGGTTAAAGTCAGACATTAGGATGGGAAGCAAGGCAAGCGATGGATGGAGTGAGGGGTATTTGTTATGTGAGCTTCTGACTGTTCAGTGTTCACCCAGTGGTATTACCCCTTCCTTGACCTCTGCTAGACTGGAATCCATTTTTCCCTTTTAAAAGTATATTTTCTCATTTAAAAGTTAATACACGCTTATTTATAAAAATGAAAAAAAATCTGCCAAAACTACTAGAGAAGTTCCTTACTGTTATTTTTCCTGCATTGATCTTGTTTTTATATAGTTATTAACATAACGTGTATACAATTTGTATCTTTTGTCACATGACATTGCATCAAAAACATATTCCATATTATTACAACAGTCCTCCTAATCATCCTTTTAATTGCTACATAATATGCTTCCACAATTTACTTAATCGTTTGCTCCACTGTAGAGTATTTAGGCGGTTTCTAATCTTTAATATAAATAAGGCTGTGATAAATATCTTTTCATATAAAGCTTTTATGGAAATTAGAATGATTTCCTTAGCATAGATTCACAGAAGAAGAATTACTTTGCAAAAAAAAAAAAAATAACAAAGAAGAAAGAGACATATTTAAGGGTCCTGATACATTTTGTCAAATTGAATCCTGAAGGAGGAACCCATTTGTTTGTTGGTAATTTTCCACGTTGGGGCAAGAGGATATGGCAGTCTCACCTAGGCCATTGAGGGTTCCCACAGTGTCCACCATCCAGCGGCTGATGGTGTGGTTTGCCAAGGAGTCGAACATGCTGCTCAGAGCACTGGCGCCGGCTGCAGTGCCAATCAGGTACTCCAGGATCAGGTTCCAGCCAATGAAAAATGCCACAAATTCGCCGACAGTGACGTAGCTGTAGGTGTAGGCCGACCCTGTTGTCTTGGGAACACGGACTCCGAACTCTGCATAGCAGACACCTGCGTGGGAAAAGCATATATGGGTGGGGGACTTTAGGAGATGAGATAACCTCTTGGTGGTCAACCATCTTGGGTACAAAATACTGGGAATCTCTGGGATCTTAGAACAAATACACAAAATTTTATGCATATGAATAAATTCAAGGCCAATTCTAATGTCTTTCAACGTCAGTTCTGAAAAACTTTTAACCTGAATGTTTGGGAAGAGAATCAGAACTAATTTTAATGAACTATTGGAAACTGCTCTTTGTTTAGAAAAATTCCTATTTGTTGTATGTGTCTCTGTCATGTTCTTTAGGTGTCCTTAGGTGTCAGAATGAGCACGGTCTAGTTCATGACTTGATGACACTAAGTTTACATTATGTATAACATTCTTCTCTTTCATTTTTACATATTACAGAGGTCCTCCTCATTTGACAATGATAGTTCAAGTGATCTGTGAAGATTCTGTACTATATACGGGAGGCAGGATTGATACAAAATGAGAGACAGATTGAGAGAATCTTAAGCAGACTCCACACTAGGTGGAGCTGATGAGGGGCTTGATCTCACAACCCTAAGATCATGACCTGAGCTAAAATCAAGAGTGGACGCTTAATCTACTGAGCCACCCAGATGCCCCTATTGCCTATCTTTGATGGAATTATAGATTAAATTAGAAAGAGACTGGGAATACACCAAGCTTCTGGGAGCTGGGAGAGTTTCCTGCATCTTGCTAGGGACTCTGGATGTGAGGCCAGTAGGTAGGATGCCAAGTTGGAGGACAAACCTAGGACAGCCTGGAGGAAACACACAGGAATGGGTTGTAGGAGGGATTTCAAAGTAAACTTTACCTTCAGTCCCAATTTTGTTAAGGGCCAACCCTGAGGTTCTCTCATCATAAATCAGGGGATAACAGTTCACTCTTTTGTGAATAAAGAGAGCAAATTTCTTCTCCTTTGAAGGGAGTGATATCAGTGCAAGGAAGCACAGAGATGTCAGAAGCCACGGCACAATGAGTGGTTAAAGGTGATGCACTTTCTCTTTTCCTACCCCTTAGTGGTGCCGGCTCTCCGGGTGTCCATGTGAAAGGAGTGCTGGACCAGGGGGACTGTGCTCTTGTCTCAACTTTGCCTTGAACCTGTTCATCCCTTTATATTCAGTTTCCTTCTTTGTAAACTAAAGGAATTAGACAGGGATGCTCTCTTAAGGGCCTCCCAACTGTGACACTCTAGGATTCTACCTGTTACACTGAATTTTATGGATTTTGCTGCAGAACGCATTGAGCATGGTTCACTTTTCTTTTACATCGATTACTATACTGTTCTACATATGGAGACATTCTCAGGCCTAGCAAGGTCATCCGTCCCTGCACTGAATGACCTAGGCCACTGTTTGTTTTGAGTTCCTGTGTTGGCCCCGCTCCCCCGCCCCCCACCTTTGTAAAACAGTTTTTCATCTCCCTCCTGGAGGTCAGACTGTAAGTTGTTTCTTTTTGTTGCTGTCACAGGGATTACCTTGAACAGGCTGACCACCTCCTTTTCTAAATTGCCACTTCCAACACCTGATGTTTACATTGTTAGAGTGAGTCTAAAACTAAGAGGAAGTGGTCCCTGAAGGAAGGACTGAGGAGTGTATGGAGTGAATAAGCACTCTCTCCTGAAGACAGTTGGGTTTGTGGATACATATTAGGTTGCCCTTTAGTGCAGTGTGAGGAAAGGATTAGGAGGCAATCCTAATTCTGCTCTTGGGTATAGGATCCATAGCTTTACCCAAGAGTTCTTACATCCTGTGAACTTCATCTTTTCACCCTTTTTACCCCTGATAATGCACACGGCTAATAAATGGAAAAATCTCAACCAACGCTTTTGAAACTGGCATTGATTTGATTGTAAATTTAATTTGGAGAGGCAATATTTTGAACTTTGGGCAATCAGTGGTTCTCTCCTTAATATTTGATCTGCCAAATTAGATGTAAAAATTCCCAATTCACCATCAGAACTCAACTCGCCAAGGGTAATTAGCAAATAGCCACGTCTTACTTAGGTCTTGTGAAGGAGCCAATGCACTGCTGTCCTGAGGCAGAGGAAGAGGCCCTTAGCTGTGCACCGTGTAGGAGCATATGACATCAGTTGTTTATTTCCCAAGGTCCAGCTTGTATTCTGATAGGTGGAATTTGGGAAGAACAGCAGGAAAACTAAATGAGACACTAACTAGGTAAGACGATTTCTGCTCCTAGAGACCATTCTTTTGGATGCATTATAAAGGATTTTATTTTTGCATCTTTCTGATTTATTTGTATGCAAGGATCCAGGCTTTTAGTGGGCATTAGAGACTATCCAGCCTGGCACTGAACCTCAGTGGTGAGGAGTAAGTGATCTCAACCCCAAATGTCCTGAAAAAAAAAAAAAAATCTGGAAAATGTTGTCAATCACTCCACTTTTTTCAAATATATGGTGTGTAAGAGAAACATGTTCAAAAGTATCTTTCTAATTTAATAAGAAACAAGAACCAAAGAAAGGGAAACCTCGGTTTTTATCTTAGATTATATAATAATTGAGTGTCGAAGAGCAAGTTACTTACCTAACATGGGTAAAGTGAAGGGGCCAGGTAGATAAACTTTAGGGTCCCTTCTAGTGTTACCATTCTTTGGTTTCACAGCCAGAATCAACTTTCAAACATTTGAGTCAATGGGGGCAGCTCCGGAGAAAATACTGGAAACCAGTAGTTTTCAGCAAAAGTAGTACTGCCATCTAGGGGGAATTTTGGAAATCTGTGGGGGTGTCCAAGGTTTTCATGATTGTGGACACTTGAGGCATTCAATGGGTAGGGAGCCATTAGACATTCTGCAGTGTGGGACTGTCCCACAGAATGAAGCATTTTCCTGTGTCTTACATAACTTCTGAGGGTCCCAAAGGACCTGTTTATGAAAACAAGTTTATAAATTATAAAAACCTTTTTATAATTTCTGAGCCTGAATCTATCTCCATTTTAATACATTAAAAAAACACTTTTTTTTACATTTATTTTTTTGATAGGCAGAAAGAGACAGAGCACAATTGGGGGAGGGGCAGAGAGAGAAGGAAGCACAGAATCGGAAGCCGGCTCCAGGCCCTGAGCTGTCAGCACAGAGCCTGACACAGGGCTTGAACTCACAAACTGCTAGATCACGACCCGAGCCGAAGTCGGACGCTCAACGAACTGAGCCACCCAGGCGCCCCAATTTTAATACATTTTAAAGTTTATTTATTTATTTTGAGAGAGAGAGAGAGAGAGCAAGCACAGGAGCTGGGGAGAGGAGCAGAGAGAGAGGGACACAGAGAATCCTAAGCAGGCTCTGTGCTGTCATCACAGGGCCTGATGCGGGGCTTGATCTCATGAACTGTGAAATCATGACCTGAGCCGAAATCAAGAGTGGGATGCTTAACTGACTGAGCCACCCAGGTGCCCATATCTCCATTTTACATATTAACACAAAGTTGTTTTTTTTTTTTCATGATTTTATATGCATCGAATTTTCCAGGGCTGCAACAGCTGGGTAAATCGAGGGACAGTTGCAATTTGTTTTGTTTGGAACTAAGAGTTGGTCATTATTTTGGAAAACCACATCATCAACAGCGGCATAAGTCATGGTCTCTGAATATCCAATAGCACACCTATGCGAGTTGTGTTCACAGTTGTTTTACAAGTGACAGCAGACATCTGATGACTTTGTTATGTCTCCTATTATTCTTTTTTTATTTTTAAAAAAAAATTTTTTTTCAACGTTTATTTATTTTTGGGACAGAGAGAGACAGAGCATGAATGGGCGAGGGGCAGAGAGAGAGGGAGACACAGAATCGGAAACAGGCTCCAGGCTCTGAGCCATCAGCCCAGAGCCCGACGCGGGGCTCGAACTCACGGACCGCGAGATCGTGACCTGGCTGAAGTCGGACGCTCAACTGACTGCGCCACCCAGGCGCCCATGTCTCCTATTATTCTTATGCTCTACCTTCCATACTCAGGGGAGATATATATATATTTAAATTAAGTGTGTGGCTCTGGAAAATAGTAAGGTTCCTCAAAAAGTTAAAAATAGAACTACCTTATGATCCAGCTATTGCGTTACTAGGTGTTTACCCAAAGACTACAAAAACTCGAATTCAAAGGGATACAGGCACCCCAATATTTATAGCAGCACTATCTACAATAGCCAAATTATGGAAACAGCCCAAAGACCCATTGACTGATGGATAAAGAAGGTATGGTGTGTATATACACACACACACACACACACACACACACACACACATACACACACACACACAATGGAATATTACTGAGCCATAAAAAAGAATGAAATCTTGCAATTCATAACAACAAGGATGGAGCTAGAGAGTATTAATGGTAAATAAAATAAGTTAGTCCGAGAAAGACAAATACCATATGATTTCACTAACATGTGGAATTTAAGAAACAAAAAAAAGGAACTAAGTGGGGGAAAAGGGAGTCAACCAAGAAACAGACTCTTACCTTTAAAATTTTTTTTTTTTCAACGATTATTTATTTTTGGGACAGAGAGAGACAGAGCATGAACGGGGGAGGGGCAGAGAGAGAGAGGGAGACACAGAATCGGAAACAGGCTCCAGGCTCTGAGCCATCAGCCCAGAGCCCGACGCGGGGCTCGAACTCACGGACCGCGAGATCGTGACCTGGCTGAAGTCGGACACTTAACTGACTGCGCCACCCAGGCGACCCAGACTCTTACCTTTAGAGAACAAACTGATGGTTACCAGAAGGGAGGTTGGGGGGAGGTATGGGTTAAATAGGTGATTGGGATTAAGGAGTTGGCACTTGTTGTGATAAGCACCAGATGTTGTATGGAGTGTTGAATCACTAATTATATAACTGAAGCTAATATTATACTGTATGTTAACTGGAATTTAATAATATTTTTGTAATGTTTATTTATTTTTGAGAGAGAGAGAGAGAGAGAGAGCGAGAGTGTAAGCAGGGGAGGGGCAGAGAAAGAGGGAGACACA